TAACTTTTCTGTCTCCTCCCCCAGCTGCGGCCCAGCTGCAGATGCCCAGGAGGAGCCCCTCTGTGAGAGAGAGACAGCTGCCCTGGGCGAGGGGGCACAGGGATTTCAGGAGGCAATAGGGAGGGTTAGGCTGGGAGGGTGTGGGGTCAGGGGTGAGAAGGACTGAGATGCGCACTGTGTGACCTGGTGCCTCATCTCACCCTGGGTTAGAGGCCCATCTGGGAGCAGGCGGGGACCTGCCAGGAGACACACCCCTGTTCTGCCCCAGCAGATGCTGCCATGAAGGACCCGCAGCCTGGGGAGAGCGTGGAGCTGGACCCTCAGGTGAGACCCCTGCTCCTGTCCAGGCCACCAAGGACATTCTGTTGCCCAGTTTAATCCAATGGACCCTTCCCTGTTCCACCTCACCTGCTTCTCAGCAGCGTCCACACTGACCTCCCCTCTGGGCCCCCAGGTCGTCCTGCTGTGACTCACTCCTCCTGGTTTCCTTGTGACCTCATGGCCCCTCCTACGTGGCCCCCTTTGCCTGCCCCTCGTCCTCTGTCTGACCTTGTGCAGCCCCAGGTCTCAGGAGGAGGCAAGAATGAGTGACTCACCCACAGGTCCCCTCGATCCCCTTCATTCATTCCCCCAGCAGATGTGACAGGGCTGTTTCCTGGCTCCATTTAGGGCCCATTGTGCAGCCCTGAGCCACACTGTCTCCACATTCTTGGAGCTCCCCTGTGGGTGAGGGAGCCAATATGCAAACAAGCAGACGGTGTCCCAGAGAGCAAAGTGCTGTGAAGGAACATAAAGCAAGAGGAGGGGATAGAGTGCATGGTGGGGGGACAGGGAAAAGAGCGGGTGCAAAGGTCCTGAGGCAGGACATCCTTCTTCAGGAGGACGGGCCATGAGGCTGGAGCCAAGTGAGCAAGAGAGAGCACGTTAGGATAAGAGTCAGAATCACAGAAGCATCCAGAGGCCCCAAGGCTCAGGAAGTCCCTGCAGATTCCACCAGGAGAGGGACCTGATCTATTTAAAGTGTAAATCATGTCTCTGGCAACAAGATAATTGACAGGAGGATTTCTACTGTGAAATCAAGGAGACACTGTTCTGTCTCACTGTCTCCAGCAGAACAGGCAGGATGAAGGCCCCCAGGGAGTGACGTATGCCCAGGTGAACCACTCAAGACCAAGACCCGGGCCGGGAATGGCCACCTCTCCTTCCTCCCCTTTGGGGGGTTTGCTGGACCAGAAGGGCCGACAAGCAGAAGAGGACAGTCAGGTGGGTCCCATCCTCCCCAGACCCCTAGGACCTCCCCAACCCCAACCACGTTTCATCCCTCTCTCTCTCTCTCCCCCTGCTCCAGGCTGCTGCGTCTGATGCCCTCACACATACAGCCTACGCCCTGCTGAACCACTCGGCCCTCAGATAGAGGACAACACCCCCTTCCTCCCATCAGAGAAGCCCCCAGATGAGTCCAGTGTGTACGCTGCTCTGCCCATCCACTAGCCCAGACCCCACAGTGCAGGGAGATGGCTGCCAGGACCCCTGAGGGCACTGGAGCGGCCCCCATGGACACTCAGTGCCCTGGCCAGTCTGGAGATCTGACGTGGACCCCCAACTGCTCCTGGGATGCCCCTGGGAGTCGCCTGATTCTGCAATCACAGATGACTAATATCCCTACATTATGGAATCAAAGCAACAGACTTCTCAATAACCAGCGTGTGAATTGATTATTGACAGGAAGTGAGTGAACGCTTTCAATGAATGATCATGTAAATATTATGCATCAAGCCTATGAAATAAAAAAATTAAGAGGCATGAGTGAATATATTAGAAAAGAAAAACCTAAAAGGTCAAGACCTAATTTATTACATCAAGAATTTAGAAAATGAATAGCCAATTATTCTAAATGAGGGTAGAACGAGGGATGTAATAATGAGTAGCTACTAGTGAGGACAGACAAAAATAGAGAAAAAGCAACAAAGTCAAAAAATTTTATTCTTGAAAACTGTAATCACATCGATAAATCTTAGCCACCTTAGACAAGAAAAAAGGGGAAGAGGCACACATTCCCATGACGAGGACAGCATCACAGATCCTATAGACTTTAAACAGCTACCACAACATGATAAACGATTTGATGCCAGGCCCTACCCAGTTAGCTCAGTTGGTTAGAGCATCACCCCAATACGTCAATCCCGCAGGCACATGCAAGAATCAGCCAATGAATGCATAAATAAGTGGAACAACAAATCGATGTTTCTCTCTCCCTTCCTCTTTCTCTCTAATTAAGAAAATAAAATTTGATGTCCACGTATTAGCCACTGGCGTGGCTCAGTGGTTAAGCATGGACCTATGAACTAGGAGGTCATGGTTCGATTCCCAGTCAGGGCACATGCCCGGGTTGTGGGCTCCATCCCCAGTTTGGAGCATGCAGGAGGCAACTGATCATAGAGTCTCTCTCATCATTGATGTTTCTATCTATCTCTCGCTTCCCTCTTCTCTGAAATCAATAAAAAATATATTTTTAAAAGTGGACATGTTCAAATGTACAGTTTACTAAGTAGACATCAGAGTTAATAGAAAGTCTGTGTCACCTTATGTATACATTAAGTACATGCAATAAACATTGCCCTGCACATGAGCGCTGTGGAATATGAAGAAAGTCAAAAAGATAGAAACAAAGAGTAGAGCAGTTGGGGGAGGGAGGGAGACATGGGGAGAGTTTGGTTAAAAGGTACAACCTTCCAGTTACAAGACTGGCAAATCCTGGGACTCTAATGCACAGCATGGTGTTATAGCTAAAACTCCAGTTATCTTATTCTTGTGTGTTGCTGAGAGAGAGACGGCAACTCAGGGACAGGAGAGAGCTGTTAGCTAAGGCCAGGGTGGTCCTCCTCTTGCAATATCCTATATAATAAAGAGCTGATATGCTAATTAGACCGGATGGTGGAACGACCTTCGGAATGACCTTCCAGAACGACCTGTGGGTTGTGAAGGCCTACCATTGCACGAATTTCATGCACCGGGCCTCTAGTATAAATATATCAGTTCAGGAGGCTTCATTGGTGGTTTCTTACAAATGCTTATGCACTTACACACACACACACACACACACACACTTCCCAAGAGCAGAAAACCACACCTGATGGTTGAAGAATCTCTCCCCCAAAACCTGTTCTCCCTCATGGAGACCCAGCCTGAACACAGGCATTTCCAAAGAGCAGAAAACCACACCTGGAGGTTGAAGAATTCCTCCCACCCCAAAAACTGTTCTCCCTCATGGAGACCCAGCCTGACCTGGTGGGTTTAAGGAGGGAGACACTACTTCTCGCTCAGGGATTTGCCCCTGCTGACACGTTCACCTTTGTCCCTTAAAATTAATGTGGCTCAGGATACAATGTTCACTAACAGTCGGCTCCATGGAGGTATTTCTCCACTATCTTCTGGTATCGGCATTTCCTGTGAGGAAGTCTGGTCCCAGGGAGCTTGTCATTATGGCGATTTGCTTTTTTCTCTAGAAAGTAAGGTGATGACACTTTTAGAAACCCAGGCTAGTCCTCCTTGATTTGTTTTTGAGTTGAAATTCACATAAAATCAACCATTTTAATGTGTACAATTCAGTGTAGGATATACTTTTAAAAAATTTATCCTTCATTTACCACAAAAGATCAAGATAATGATTGCAGATCTTGGAGATTTCATTTTTAAGCATGCACACCTTATCACCTGTTTGGTCTTTTCTCATGTCTGTAAAATTTCCAATTATTTATCTCTCGAGCGGTTACTAGACATCATTCTCACTTCTTTCCTTCTGACATCAGGGATATGACACTGACCCTTCTCATTGTACTCCTCAAGTACCTTACATCCCCACTTCAGGACCCCCTATGCTGTGTTCTGGGAATCTCCTCAGTATTATACTCCACTTTCATGATCGTCTCTTCAGCTGTGTCTCTTCCCTGAGGGGTTGAATTGTTTTAATGTGCTCCTTCTACTGGGTTTTTCATCTCTCAAAGTTCTAACTCATTAGGTTCTTTTAGAAAAGAATCCATATTCTTCTTGTGTCAAAAATTGACTCCGCCTTTTATGTTCCAGATATTGAAGCAGGATTAATCTCCAATTACTCTCATATTTTTCTACTGACTCTACTCTATTGCTCATGACAGTCCCCATCATCAGTAGATTGCTGCCCGTAGCACTGTTTATCATTATCAGGATGTCTCTACTGTGCATTCTTGTTGGAGGACTTGCCCCTCACACACCTGACCTTCCATAGGTTGTTACCAGGACTGTCCTGGGAGTCAGGTTGTTGAGGGAGGGGCTTTGGCAGCTGCCCCTGCCGCATGGTGACCACTCTCTCAGACTCAGCATCTGCCCAGGGTTCTGCTCCTCAGGGCCAGTCCAATGGGAGCTTCACATGCACACACGGGACAGACACTCGTGGCTGACAATGCTGGACTTTGGCTGTTTCAGGACACACAGGGGAGGTTGCTCACTGCTGACCATGGGCTCAATGCAGTGGACAGAGATGTCCCAATTCATGTACAGAAACACAGGCAGGGTGACCAGAGCTTCCGACCTTCACCTAGACCCTGACCTCTCCCTTCCTGTGAGGACCTGGGGTCCCTTTCTGTGTCCACACAGGATAGAATCTCCTCTCTGGTGACCTGATGATGGTTTCAGACACTGGTGACCAACTCAGCTTTTCTCTCGGTTTTTCCCTGTAGTTCCCTCTCCTGTGGGGCAACTTTCATTTCCCCTTTTTCTGCATTTGTCTGTTCCTAAAATTATAGAACTATTGTAAGAAGCTTTATTTGGTCTTCAGAGCAGACAAGGGCTCGAGTGGGTGTAACAATCCTGCACTTGACTGTGGACTCCTCGATCCCCTCATCGCCCACCCACTCAGGTCTCCACCTGGTCTGAAGTCGATGTTTCCCTCCCATGGGCCCAGCCCCACTGACCCACAGCCACTCTGAGGATCCAAATGGGCAAACTGAGGTTCAGAGATAGGATGTCACCACTCAAGGTTACACGGGTGATGGGCATTTAAATAAAAGTCAGTTTTAAGTCAAAATCAGCACTCTAACCTCAATGCATGTCCCATAAAGCTAGAAGGCAGGACCACAGAATGAGGAAGAGACTTCAACCCAGAAACAAGGGGCACTGAGGAGGCAGGAATGACTCACAGGCTTGTTGCCAGGAAGGTGGGGTGGATGCTGTCACACACACAAAAAGAAGTTTGAGGGCGGCTATGGTAGAAAGAAAGCCACAGTCAGGGCCAGGAGAAGAGACCTGTTTCCTTCCCTTATTTCCCTGCATTTCCCTCTGTGCTCACTGTCACAGGGACATCGCCCTGAGCTGCACAGTTGGACGGTGAACGTGTCCCTGCTGATCTGAGCTCTGCAGGCCACAGGGACCCACATCTTCCTGAAGCGTCTCCAGGGCCCGGGTGACACTGTCAATGGTGAGGACTACAGGGAGGTGCTGATGGACGGGCTGAGGAGGAAGGAGACCCCATGGGGGAGGCTCTGACAGGGAAGGACGTGCCCTGGGTCACCTCACCTGCAAGGGGCGTCTCAGGAGGCTGCGGGTCTCTTTCCTGCTTCACCATGAAAATGAGGGCCAGGCTGCTAGAAAGAGACTGTTCCCAATAGTGTGGGGCTGCTGACGTGACAACCACGAGAGAGGGAGGGCCAGCCACCCAGTGCCCACACCCTCTATATCTACCCAGATGGGACCATCGTCTCCCTCTACACACCCCACATCTGAGCAAGGAGAAACCATGACTACCACCCTCATCACTGTGCTTTGCTTTGGTGAGATTTCAAGGGAGAGGGGAGCCCTGCTCTGTCAGGACCCCCAAGACTCAGGGGGCTCATGGGGAGGAGGGTGCTACTCAAGCTTGAGGGGCACATCTCTCACAGAGACTCTCTTCCAGGGCTGAGTATGGACCTCTGGAACCAAGTGACAGCAGGTGAGAATGTCCCCAGATATCCCAGGTCCCTCTCACTGGGGACAAGGGGGTACAACCTGTGCATCTGGGGATGGAGAACAGTGGTTCTGGATTAATGGCTGTGGGGCATCTTAGAAATGTGGGGGTGGGTAATGCCTTCTAACCCAGCCTCTGGTTTCCTTCCAGAGACCCTCCCCAAACCTACCACCTGGGCTGAGCCAGGCCCTGTGATTCTCTGGGGGAGCCCCATGACCATCTGCTGTCTGGGGATCCCAGAGGCCAAGGAGTACCATCTGGATAAAGAGGGAAGCCCACAATCATGGAAAAGACAGGAGGCACTGGAGCCCAAGGACAAAGCCAAGTTCTCCATCACACACACGACAGAGCGTGATGCAGGGAGATATCAGTGTTCCTATCACAGCCCTGCTGGCTGGTCAGAGCCTAGTGACCCCCTGGAGCTGGTGGTGGTGACAGGTGAGAGGACACTCAGGGGTCCCAGCCTCAGGCTCTGCCCTAAGAAAGGAGGTCTCCCTCTCACAGCCCAGCCCTGGGGGACGTGAGGGAGGTGTGAGCCCGTTTAACACGCTGCCTCCTCCTCTCCTAGCATCCTACGGCAAACCCAGCCTCTCAGCCCTGCCCAGCCCTGTCGTGACCTCAGGAGGGAATGTGACCCTCCAGTGTGGCTCAGGGGAAGGATTTGGCAGGTTCCTTCTGACTACGGAAGGGGATCACAGGCTCTCCTGGGCCCTGGGCTCACAGCGAGAGCCCAGTGGGTGGTCCCAGGCCCTGTTCCCTGTGGGCCCTGTGACCCCCAGCCACAGGTGGACGTTCAGATGCTATGGCTGTTACATGTTCAGACCCCACATGTGCTCCCAACCCAGTGACCCCCTGGAGCTCCTAGTCACAGGTGAGTCCCATCATTGTCTCACACATGGATTGAAGCACCAGGTACATTATTGGCTTCTTTGTTGGGAGCAGAGCCCCATGTGACATGGTGGGGAGAGGGGAGAATAGGGACTCCTGGGACAGAGACACAGAGAGAGACAGTGAGAACTGGGGGCCAGGACAGGAGAAGGGGGTTCATGGGAGGAGCAGCCCCTGTAATTCACGTCTGTCTTCCCCGGTGAGTCGGGGAATCCCTCCCTCTTGACACAGCAGGGACCCACCG